GAATAATATAATAACAGATTGGAGATAAAAAAAAGGAAAAAGTAAGTAGTAAGGTTAATTAATGATAAATTGATGAAATTAGAAAATATTATACGGATAAGAATGCTCAATGCTTAATAAAAGTTGAAATAGATAGAATTGTGCTTGTAGTTCTGTATATTTAATGTGGTATGCCAAACGTAACTTATTGACATCATTGTTAAAAATTTAACCTGAAAGAACCAACTCCAAGACAACAACAAAGCAAATTATAACATGCGCATTCTGAAAATATAGTATAGTATTTCAAAAACGTAGGTATTGGTCGTATTCCATTTACAATCTTTACTCTGTTCAAGCAACAACGTTCCGTTTGAGTATAACTGTAACCTACTTATTATTTATGTCTCTTTCAATATTGAAATACAACATATTTTATTTGATGTTTTGCTACGCATCCATTATCATAGTTATAAAAACATAATGTTTTAAATTCCTATTTGGCCATAAGTGCAAAGCCGAATGTATTAGCTAGTAGATCTCATAAAATTATTTATATTTACATATTAATTATGTGTTCAGCGTGTTACATATAATATTTGGGCTATTTGGGCACTGTATTTTTCAAAATGAAAAGTAGTTTTGTACATTTTTTAACATTACTATTTTTTAAAGAAATTTTGAATCTGTAGTGACGCCTTTGTCATTGGGAAACCCCCAAAAAATGTATTGTGTCGACATTTTTTTTTTATATATAATTGTTTGTGCCATTTACAGTCTTTCACGTCGAAGCGTTTACATATTTCAAAGCGATTTTATCACTTTCAGTTATTTTTTAAGTGTTTTTTTTATTTAAACAATACTTCCTCAGCGCCTAGTCGAAGCTAAAGTTGTTAGAAATTGTTAAGAAATCGATTTTGTCCGAACTAAAACGATGTACGTTTTACATTGGGGAAACGGTTATAAAAAAAAAAGCACATAACTTGTGCAGACAAGTCGTACAACAATTGAAGTGGTTAAACTTACAAAAAAAAAGAAGCTACTCCGTCAGAACAGTATATATACACAAAACCGAACGGAATACCAGAAGAAAAAAATGTCTGATCCAGTGTCTGAATTGATGCGAATCCAATTGAGTTTTTCCTTTGAATGTTTGCTCACCGACCGGTTCATTTAGTACATCCTTTAGGCGTTATAATATGACGTATAGATATACAGGATCACGGCCGTTACACAATATATAAACTGTACAGTTCCAAAAGGTTTCTAAATTCGTATTACTACTATTTTTTTTTTTCTACTATTTTTATATGGGATTTCATTATATTTGCTTAGGTGCGTCCGAGTGGACACAACAAAAGCGCAAACGATATTATTACCCGACCGTTGCGTTGTTGTGTCTCGGTTTTGCCAAAAAAAAAAAAAAAAACATCCGATGCAGGCAAAACTTTTGTTATTCTTAAAAAAAAAAAAATGAATGTATACAAAAATATTTGAAACTAAAAATCCAATAAAAATATCGATATTTTATTTAACAGACAACTATTTGCCCTTCAAACAAGTTAAGACTAACAAAAAAAAAAAATTAAATTAATAACGAATTGTAGCAGAAATTTGCAGGGTCAAACTTGGGAAATCGTTGTTCTGTGTACTAAGTTTGGCTGCTTTCCCATAATATTATTTCAGACACGTGTTGATCTAAAGTACTGGCAATTAGTCGGTTTCGAGGGCATTACCTACGTGCCGAGTGCCCAAAACGAGTTAATAGTTCAGCAGCGCCTTTTTGATCGAGTGTTATGCTTCACATTCGTGTATTTTCTTGCCGGCGTGTTCTTCACAAAAGTTTCTTTAATTGGCTTTCACAAAATATGGCGCAATCGGTTAATTTCTGTATACAATAAATTAGAGCGGGAACGAATTTTTCCAATTAAATATTCTAATAATGCAATATTATGTATGCTAAATAAAAATAATTCCAAAACAAAAATGTGTAACAACCGAATATAAGGCATTAGCAAATTTTATTTTTTCCGGAGTGAGCAACAACATTTATTTTGAACTAAATGTGTAAAATGATTTTTCCAATGTTCGGAAAAATATATTTGATTTTGGAAAAACATTCAATTATTTTGAAAAGAGTTATAGTATTAAACTATTAAAAAGAAAGCTTCTTTTTTATGTTAATTTTAAAAAATATTAAATACGATATGGATTTTTTTCATCTTCATCGTAATATTAATAATATCTTAACCACAGAATAATACATTTATTGCACTCGTATGTAAAATTATAAAATCACAAAATAATTTAAATAGAACTAAACACATATGCACTGAGCAAGCCAAAAAATCCCATTCCTTATGACTCGTCTTTCCCTCCTTTCATAACAACCAGTGAACAGAACGATTTCTAAGGGCCTAAGTTGATTTCTAAGTTGATTATGTATCACCATCCAATTAACAAAGCGATAATTAATATCCTTTTCCCGAAATTTCTTTATTATTTAAATTTCTTACAAAAAATAATTTTTCAATACTATTATTTTTGTTTTTTTTTAATTACTAAATTAAGTTTTTATCATGTAGATAGTTTCAAGTGTAAATTGTGTCGATTAAATTTGACTAGACTACAAACGTTTAATATTAATATTTGCTTTTTAAATTGAAAATATTTTTTAATATAAAAAATACATATGTACCAAAAAAAAAATCTGTACCGAGGAGAAAAACCGCATTTGTTGTCGCAAAATATCTATTTGTAAAATTGTATGAATGCAAAAATAGTGGTACATTTTAATTATCAATTATCATATTAAGATGGACGCATTAAACACTGTATACGATGTAATGGTATTAAATAATGTATACATCTACTTACCTTTCGTTAATTAATTTCCAGCAAACGCATAATTTCTATCTAAATTTAAATTGTATAATTAAAAGTTCTCCGTTAAACGATTAAACAGTTAATTAACCATTGTACAGGTTAAATCACTATAGCAGGTGAAAGAAAACCCATTTCGCCGATGAAATCGTATCTTTATAATTCATATTTTATGAAATTACAACTTTTGTCACATCTCTAAATTCGTACTAAGAATTTATTAAGGTCGAACAGAAGAGATTTTTTTAAATCTTCCTTTTACAAAACCCACGTTTTTTTCCTATCAAAATAGACAAGCACGTATATGTATCTAATAAAAGAAGTAAAAAGTAGTGGAACTTCGCTAAAAGGAAAGCTTTGTACCTACATAAGAAAAAAGTAAAGACGAAAATCGAGTTAAATACGTTTTTGATAAATATTATTATTTCATACTTTTCTCGAAGAACGTTGTTATTTTGTAAAAATAAAATGATACACACACGTTTTTTGATAAATCCAACTGTATTTTTAATATAATGATTTAAATAAAAATACTATTTTTATACGCGTTTTCAACTGTAATTAATACTCGACACTAATTGATTGATTGAACAATTGATCAATTATGTCAGTTATTATGTGGTTATTGTCAGTTATAACAGATAACACACTGATAATAATAATTGGAGTTATTTAATTTCAGCTTTTGACGTGTTGTGCAAAATATGACAGATGTACACTGTATACATAATAAATGTCAAAATCGTTGTTGGAAATAAATACATTATACGCAATATTATTTAAAAATGACAAACGTCCTGTATAGTTTATACTCTACGTGGTATAATTAATTAGAATTAATATATTATAATATTATTGGGTACATTTTAACATTTTTGAATGTATTGCTCATAGATATGTGCATAATGTAAAAATACAATGACAAAGTGGACGAAAATAATCAACTAGGTCTCTATACTGATTCATAATGGTATAATAATATATTGTATGATACACATTTTTTAGATTACAGCAACGACAGTAGAAATAATTCGGCAGCCTTTCATCGCTATTCACGCTATGTTTTTATTATTATCACTAGAGCTTCGCTCTAGTTATATTGCTAATATAACAATATCAACAAAATACCAAGTCAGTAATAAACTTGGTATAAGGTGTACAGAAATAATTGTAATAAGTGCAGTTTTATTATGATATCCGATACGTCATATAGGGGTTACTATAGGAAATAAATTGTCAAAAATCATTTTATATAGATATGTATTACATAGATAAAGATACACGTATGTACAAGATTTTCAATAAATAATATTATGCATACACAATGTGTATTACACATTATAATATATTTGTAAAATATAAAAGTAAGTAAACTTTTGGATGCATTTAATTCAAATCTGGTCTTTTTTTTCTAACAACAGAATTTTTTATTAATAATTTACAAATATGAAATTAAACACCAGTTTGCTTGTACGTACATTATATTACCGTTAAATTATGTCGTTTAGAGTTAATATAAATAATAGGTAACTAGATAATTCATCAAATAACGGCCGGATTTAGTTTATGAGTAAAACAGAAAAACAACAGTTATATTTTACCTGCATATTAATTAGTTTTTCTATTTAGGCGTTTGGGGGTCGCATCGGGTGTGCTTTTAGATTAAAGTTAGTAGAATTTTTTTTAAGTTGTTTTTGTATTGATTTAAAAAAAAAAGAGATCGAGATAAAAAGTAAAAAAGTAGTTATCCGAAAATAGTCTAATGTTTTATCGATTTCATATCATGTTAAAAGTCCGTTTTATTGTTGTATATTTTTGACGGGGTTATCATTTTTCTGTCGATGATATCACAACAAAACAATCAGCACATAACTAAGGTTATGTTATCAACCGGAATTCAATTAATTTTAAACGACAGGTTGTGCAACACAAACGGCGCGCACTCAACTGATTTAACAAACGGTTTCATGCGACCCGACATAGTTTTCTAGAAACTAATTCTAATTAAAAAATAAAAAAACAATGAAAATCACAAACACAAACGATACTCGATTGGTTGACAAAAAAAAAAAAAAAAAAAAACAATTAGTTTTTTTCACATGGGCGGTTTCCATTTAGTTTTGCTCGAGTGTGTTTTCCCAAATTCTTCAATTTGATCGTGTCGGACCGGACGACCAGTTTTTGTTGCGATCGCTTCGATAGTCGACCAAGTGCGGTCGTGGGTCGATGTCATTCGAAAAGTAGCAAGTCTTCTTCTTCGGAATTTTTCCTGGACCTCGACAGCTGCTGTTGTTGCCCGGACCTGAACCGGCGGTCGTTCTTCGGTCCAGCAGGTAACGCGGCACACGATTCTATACGGTGAACGTATTCGGTTAGGTCGCATAATTTGTTTTCGTACGGTTCGGCGACCGAATTGCGGTAATCCCGCGACTTGGTCGGATTCAACAGCGTTATGGCATCGCCGTCTATTAGCTCCGAATCGAACGGGTCGTCTCCTTGTAGCTCGGTATAAGTGACGGCGCCGAATCTGCGAAAACAAAACGTCGAAAAAAAAAAGGTAAATTTTAGCCGGGCAACATAATAATGTAATTGAAATGGCAAGGTTAAACGTTGAAATCAAATAACGCGGCTATTTGCGATCATAATTTCGTTCCAAACTGATTACTGATAAGAAACGGCTGATAATGATAATAGATAACAGCAGTTGATAGCGCGAATCATTGGCTTAGAGGAGCCGTTTCACAAGTATGCAATTCAAGTACAATGCTGACCCTAGACGAACTCTGTCTCACTGTGAATTCATTCGTTTCATCACACGCACACACACTGTCTGTACGCTGCTTCTTTATTAGTTTTACAAACATTCTTTGTAAACTTTTTTCTCCCGACCCTCTGCACAATACATTTCTCTGGGCACTCTGTCATGTCGTTTTTATACAAAAATTTACTGACAAAATTGAAAATGATATTATAATTTATATTGTTTAGAAGCAAAAATAACGTTGGTTGAGCACACGAGCAACACCACCCATTTTTTTTAACTCGTATGATTGACACCAGTGGTTATCAATGTGATATTTTAGATCATTATGCTATCAGTTTGCTTGATTTATAATAAATATGATTAAGCTACATTAGAGGGTCGAAAGAATCCCGAAGGACTTGGGCGTAATTGGAAAGCATCTAGTCCGGAGTTATTATAAAGACTTATATGCTGGTAATTTGGAGTAGGTAGTGCAGAACTGCTGTATAATATGGTAAGAAATAAGAATGTATTTTTTTTTACAAAAAAAGTAAATCTTTAAGTTTTTAAGTTAAGATTTAGCTTAAAATTACTAAAAAATATGGCTTTTAACTAAACTTTAAGTTTTATAACTCTTTAACATAGTTAAACCATAATAAAAAAATGTATTACATGTTAAGATTTTTTTTTAAATCAGACATTAAAAAAATTAATTGTTACTATTTTTTATTTTTTTCGACTGGTTTTTTTCTATACATTTTAGACTATAATGATAAATACAGTGTGATTTTATCGGTGGATTAATTGTGTTTTCAAATGCATACAAATTATTTTTCGGTAAATTTTTTTTTTTTAACTTATAACGGAATGTATTGTGTTTTAGTTTAGTTAGCTGTGCAGGTATTGATTTTTAGTGTTCATTTTTTTGTAATAGAATATTTTTGAGTTAACACTAGTTTATTGCTAATATATATTTATTATATTAGGCGTTCAAGTTATCGGATCTTGGAACTTTCTAAATTAACCGTCTTCGAACTTGCACTTAATTTCCTTGCACCGTCAATGTTGACATTTAACGTCAAAATAAACTCCAACCGTGTCAATATAAATAATCTTGAAAAAATTCTTATTCAAAGTGTCAATTTTGATTTTTTAATAATATCCATAAAATACTGTAATTATTAGAGGTTGTTGTACTTGAAAGAAAACTTATGCCCCGCTGGGTCTTATAAGATCATATTCTAAAACGGTTTACAGAAAATTACCATTTTGTTCAGTGTATAAAATATATATTCTACTACCTTCATATAAAGTGTATAAAACGGTCGTTTCAAACGGATAACATCATTATTTTTATTTGAGAAAACCTCTTGCGGTGAATGAAAAACGACTGTTGGTCGAGTGTATATTATAATAATGTACAACAATAATCGCAATTACAATAATAAAACAGTTTGTTGACCCTTTACAAGTCAAACGATTGTCGAATCCGTGATTTTTTAGTAATGCAATAATTATGAGGTTAAAAAAACATAACAGTTCAATGTACAGCAATAATCATTTTTTTTCAATACATTCGGTTTGGTCGATACTTTTAAGGGTAATAATTAAAACTAATTACAAATTCCTAAGTATAATTTATACAGAACAAACTTTGCCCAAGTCGTTATAAATATTAACAGCTGTAAAGCAAAAAACGGTTTGCTTGAATAATAGCCCTAATCAGTAATTTTTTACATTGGAAGTTTTTAAATTTTTTCTAATATTAACATAAATAAGCAAAAATGTGCGTTGTACAGAATTCAGAGTCAAATAAATATCGATATATAATATATATAAATATGGAAAATAACCTTGTTACTGAAACTTAAATTCAATAAAAATAAAACTAAGTTTTTCAAAACTTCTAAAGAATATTAATCAATCTAAACGTTTAAATTCAACAATAATAACTAACAAAAAATAAAGCCTAAACGAGTTGAACATACAAACATAAAAAAATACATTTTTCTTGATATTCATTCATACAGTTTTCGTTTTGGGTAATTCATTTTTAAAAGACAACTTCGTATGGACGGCTTTTACATGTATTTCTAGTTTCAATATGACAGTTTACTACATAGAATATCATGAGTTTGGACGGTGTAACACCGTTAAACTATATTTCAGCTATACATTGAACGTTTACCGCAAAACTTTACTCAAAGTATTTCAATTTATACGGTTCTAGGCATTTTCGTGTAATTGTTACAAAAGGGTCTTTTGTTTTCATCGATTTCTCTCTTGTTGGCATATCGAATGCAAAACAATGGTAATGGAATAGTTTCTGTATTTTCTCTTAAGTTATACTACACAAAACGCTTTACTTAGAATTCTAAAAAATTAATTGTTTTTATTCATAACAGTATAACACTAAAGCCAAAAGGGATGTATTCGCACAAATCTGGCTCTTCAAGTGCATTTTTGTTATTTATTTATTTATAGCTAAAGTAAAGGCAAACATTTTGCAGCTGCTTAAGTTTCCTAATTATTAGCTAACAATTATTCTCGAAGTGGATTAATAAGATAACTGCTAATTATTCAACCAAGTACCAATCGATAATTAAATTGAAATATTTTACTATTAAGTGGTCGACGAGTTCGTTAAAGTTGTACTACTCGTCGAATTTGGATTAAATGTAATCAACTAAATATTTGATCATGCATCGTCCAACTAACAAATAAATCATTCATCAACTAATCGTCAATCAGTCGGTTAAAATGAATCAATAATTTCAAAAAAGTTGATATGATATTTGTTTAATTTCAATTAGATAAGTTATATTAAAATAAGTGTTCAAATTAGTTATTTAGTAAAAAATAAATCGAATAATTATATTTAATTTTGAATTGATGACTTACGATGAAAATACTAGTTATGATAAAACATTTAGCAATTATTTTTCTAAAAGTTATTCATTGTTAATGTTTGAGGATTTATTATTTAATTTCAATCTAATAATTATTAGTTGATTGAAAATTTGCCCAACGCCAGTTGGTAATTTATTAATATTAATCATAAATAACTCAATTTTTACATATAAACAACAACATATTAAAATTTATATTTTACAAATAATTACCTACACGATCGACCTTTTAAACTCAACCAATTAATTTTAATTTTGGGCTAATTATTTTCTTACTACATAGTTTAATTTCAGAGGGCGTAAGAACAAATTCAAACCATTTTAGTCACTTATGCAAATTAAATTATAAATTTTATCATAAATACTCGGCAAAACAGATAATTTTAATAATCGTATAATAGTAATTTTTTATTGGTTAATTTATTAAAATGTGTTCGAATAATTCTCAATTTTACTTGACGGCTTCGAAATGATTTTTAAAATAATACATAAATCTCACTTAAAATTGGATTGTGTTATTAACTACTGAGAATAATATGATGGTGATGGGTTTGGATTGGCGATTAAGGGAAACCGGGAATCTTGTATAACAGCCGTTGAAGAGAGACGGTCGCCTGCCATTAAGCTCCGGCCGGGTCTCTGGGATTAGAATGAATTTTTTTGACACTCATATTGTTTACAGTTGATTTAATGACATATTCGTGAACGGTTTACTTTTTGTGGTACGACGGATCCGTGAAACAGTGCACGCAAGTCATGATCAGCAGGATGAAAGCGAAGTTCAAAAAACAAGTGACCGCGATGATGACCAGCACTTCGTTGGTCGTGTAACACATACTGGCCGGTGTCGATTGCAAATGGCCGCTGTTGGCCACAGAGTTGTTGGCGGCCGAGAACACGGTCTGCCGGTGGTGTACGGCGTTCTGTTGCTGGTCGGCGGCACCGGACGGCCAGCGGTCAGGCGGGGCCATTTTATGGTGTTTGCCGTGGTGCCGGACTACGCGGCGGTCAGCAATTCCGTCCATGGCCGTTCAGCGGATTTTCATCTTGCCTCGAGTCCCGGAGTCCTTACAGATTATGAACTACGCAACCTGAAAGCAATAATAATAACAGTTGCTAATATATCTATTTCAATTACACAGGAAATATACATATTAACTTAGTTTACGGTTTTGACCATTTCACGGAATAGCGACACCCTGTATAACGGTGTCACTATCCAAGAGATAATTGTAGCCAATATTATGAGCTGTCTCTTATCACTAATCTTTTATCATTGAACCTTTATCAGCTATCTCTTATTACTTATCTGATACACCGACCGTTTCTCTTTTCCTCCATTTCCTTCTCCCCTTAATTTCACTTTTTCCTTCTCCCCTCCCTTACCTACCTAGCCTAACCTAACTTAACCTAATCTGTTGGTGTCGGATTATTTTCAATTATTTATTATCATTTACAAAATTTGCCCAACTGAGCTTACATTTCCATTAAGTCCCATTTCCGTTGAATTTAAAACGCACATTCATAATATATTATACCGCAGTTCTACACTACCTACTCCAAATTACCAGTTATAAATCTTTGAAATAACTCTGGAAGATATGCTTTCAATTTACGTCAAAACCCTTCGGGATTCTTTCGACCTTCTGGTCGTTTATATATTGTAGCTTGATAATATTTATTATAAATTAAGATAACTCATAGCATAATGATCTAAAATATCACATTGAAAATCATATGAGTTAAAAACAAATTGTGGTGTTGCTCGTATGCTCAACCAACGTTATTTTTGTATCTAAACAATATAAGTTATAATATAATTTTCAATTTTTCCAGTAAATTTTTGAAGCAAGAGGTGATGTGACAAGATTTGAGAGAGAAAAATAAGAGAGTCCAAGGAATGTTTATAAAAGTAATGAAAAAAAGAAAATTAGAATGTTAAGATTTAATATTTATGTGTGTGTGATGAAACTAATGAATTCACAGTGAAAGCAGGAGTTCGTCGAGAGACAGCATTGTGTCCAGACTTGCATTAAATACGTTAATGGGGAAGAGCTTACCAGAGACATAAAATTAAAAATTCAACTATCTGAAATGAAAACATTGAGAGGGTTGTGTGAATTTACTAGGTTAAAATGAATTAATAATGAGTCAACAAAACGTATTCGTGCTGCCAGTGAACTAAGGCGGTCGTGCCCATTTGCATGGGATAAAACTTAAGAATTTCAATTAGGAGCAAACTGAGAACTCCCAACAGTTTTAAAGTTAATACTGACTCCGAACCCGTAAAATCTGTTGAATCTTAGGGTCAAAAACATAAACGTATAGTTTTTCGATTTGAACTTTAATACTACCTAAATGCTACAATTCTGCCTAAATCCTGTTTATACAGCTAAAACATAATTATATAAAAATAATTCTCATTTTACCGTCGATAATTGAACCACAAAAATTAAACAAATAATTCCAAGCCGGCGGCGAGGCAGAAAGTTGGCTTATTTTTCATTGTTATTATATATTTTTTTAATTATTAAATCGAAAGAGCTGCGTACGATTTGAAAAGGTGCATTTCGAGTTGTTATTGCGAGCACTTAGCATACGCAATGACAAGTGCTACTTGACATGACGGCTTTAAATTAGTTTTTCAAAAACTAACCCCCCCCCCTTATTATTATATCCCTTCATCACCCTTCGCGGTCGTATGAATTGGTAATTTCGCTGCGAAATAGTTTGCTTTATTTAGACCTGACGTTTTAAATTGTAAAAACTAGTAATTACCAAAATTATTTCAATTCGGTCAATTTAAAGTGAGATCAATTTATCGCCAATATAAATTTACAATCAGTCATAAAAAAAATTAAATAACAACATTAAACAACACAATTTTGGAACAAGAATCCAAATTCTTCAATTGTGTTTGATTTCTTTTGCTAAAATCAATTTTGAATTCAGAATTTTCTTTCTTTTGCAAAAAAAAAACCTAAGAAGCTACATTAAGTCTAAGGCTGGTTTTTATATCTAAAAAAAAAATAAAATATAATGCACTGAAAAATATTTTGGATAATTATCTACAGACTACACTTTGAAAACACTATTATACACTACTATAGAGATTTTTTTTTTGTAATTTTCTTTTCTTTGCAAAATTCAGTTCTGGTTACGTGTACAGCCTGGCACCTATTTTAAAAAGTAATACTCGAATATTTGTTAAACTTGTAATTTTTTTTTTTTTGAATCCAATGTAATTGTTCACCACATTAGTTTATTATGTCTAGGATCAAGTTGGGCCGTTATACTCGACAGTGGTATTTAATGACGTTTAAAAAGCGTTCATATGGAATTAATCCTCGACCCCAAAAATACAACCAGAACAGAAACGGAGTGACTTTTTAGATTCAGTAGAATAAGAACCTTAACTAAATATAAAACTATATGTTTAACCGAGAACGAACCGGACAATTGAAATGGTCTACTTAAAAACACAGTCCAAGGATTAGTACTAGTACAACACATGCTGTAGTTAAATTCATGTGAAATCAGTAAAGCGGTTTTTTTCGAGCCGTACAAAGCTCCATTGTTTATTTTTTTAATACGACTTATAAAAAGGAGTAAATACCGGACAATTTGAAAACTTTATAACTAAAGAACAAATCAAATCGAAAAGGTACCTAAAACTATAGTTAAACAGTTATAAACTGTCTTAATTGGAACATCTGAAAATGAAAACACTAACATTTGTTTTTAATCTAGTAGAATAAATATATTTGGACTTAATAGCGATTAGTGAATAATTAAATAATGTTTCATAAACAGTAAAAACAACATTTTCAAAACATTACTTAATTCAAACAGATACAAAATTCTTTTAGCAAAAAATATAATTAACTTTACCATACTTAATTGACCTTTTGTAAACTAGCATTATTAATTTAATTTTTAGTAATATTTAAAACCTGCAAATTTCAAAATAACTTAATTCAATAAAAAAAATAACAAAATAAGGAATGCGAAGAAACTGAATCTGAGTCGAATTCCTTTTTTAAATAATGAACATTCCCACAACAGTACAATCCATAATGATATTATTAAACTGTAAACATTTAGTTGTAGTTTAACATTCATTTCCATCGCGAAAAATATAAAAGTAAACGATAGTACATGTTATAATAATAATATAATAAATTGATTATTCGAAAAAGGGTAAAACAAATGAAAAAAAGAAATATTTTTTGGATTTTAAAGTACTGATTTTGTGTCTTTTTTATGCACTCATAGCCGTCTTATATTCTTTTTCTTAAATGGAATATAAAAAAAAATGGTGTAACAGAAATTAAAATAATTTCGACGAATTAAAAATGGTTTACTTTCCAAATAATACAAGAATGAATAAAAAAAACTAAATAAATGTACAAAGCCACAAAAAAATATAGATATAATTATTAACTAGATAAATATACAATAGTGTTTATAGTTAATAATTTATATACATGTTAATATATATTTGTGATTTTTATATAATTAAATATTTATTGAGATATATTTATAAGAATTTGCACTACGCTGATGGCAGACGATCATTTTTTACTTATAATTGTTTAAGTTCATCAACCTTGCCTAACTGTTAATTAATTAATTGTTATTTTGCTATATGTATTGTGTTCAACACCGTTTGTACTGTTTTTCATCAACTACTTTTCAACTGTTATAAGATTGTGGCTTAGGCTTTTTTTTCTAGATGTTTTTAGGATTCTCTAGAATAATTTTGGATTGGCCATTATGAATTATACAATTTGAAATAATCGTGGCTCACTTGAAACCCTTTTATAGTACTTTTCCGAGTATGACTTTTATATTTAGGTCAACGTGAAAAGCGCTGCTGAAGGCACGAAGAGAATCATTTGTTATAGCTTGTGGTGATAATGTGATATTGTGGAAAGATTACATTTTATTAATGTTTCGCTATTATTGACACTCCAAAGATCTCACGTTATTTATAGGTTGGAGATTTATAGTATATATTTTATATTATAAATTAAACGTTTATGTTTTTTTTAGCTTCGACGCGTAACTGGGAAGGTATTGTTTTTACAATGATGTGTTTTGTGTGTGTGTGTGTGTGTGTGTGTCCACGATATACTTTAAGTCGCTAAACCGATTTCTCCATATAGCTATTGTCTATTGATCAGAAATCGTACCAGAAGAATATTTGTTTGAGTCAAAGGTTCACCATACATCTACCATCTGCAGGTTAGCACCGAAGTCGTTTGCTTGAACATATGTTTTTTTTATTTACTGCAAGTATTTGGTTATTTTCGCGCTGGTCGACAAATAAATGAGTTATACATAATTTACCGTTGATAAAACCGCAGTTGGACGACATTGGAATGGTACAAAGCGTTTATAATTAATAATAATTTAGTTAAAATATTACATTCAGCAGCCGGTCACTCGTCCGGGAATCGCTTGTCATAATTAATTGCCATATCAAATGGACTAATAGCAGTGGTAATAGATACGGTCGTATATTAATAATATATTATATAATCGGCAGTCGGTCGGAATCGACGTTTAAATCGCCTTAAGACGGTTTATCGACAATTCAACCGACGTATCTGACATTGGAAATCGAGACAATACAAAACAATAGGTGGCTTCGAAATTAAGACGTGTATTGAAACTTTCACAAGGGCCTCTTCTGTAGAGCATTCGAATTTATTGACAATAGCCCAAACCTGTCGGCGGGGTAGATTTTTGATTTTCCGAATTATTTGACCGTATTTTTTGACTTAAGCGCATTAAAAAAATGTTATTCATGCACTAAATACCTAGATTATTTTATTAGAATAGTACAAATTATTTTAATTGTGGCTTTTATTTAATAAATCGCCATTATATTTTGTCATCAAAACAGATTTCAATAATAGCGAAACACAAATAATATCCAATCTTTCCAAAATATCTCCACAACTATAACAAATCGCTTCATGCTTTTAGCAGTGCTCCACACAATGGCCTAAATGTAATATCCGTACTCGAAAAAGTACTATAAAAAGTATCATGTAGAGCCATAATTATTTCAAACTGTATCGTT